AACGTTGTAACTTTAAACCATCGCTAAGTGAACTGTCATAATTCAAGGATTACTTGTAAAAGATTATAATTATATGTGCATTTAACTTGTGCCGTATCACATAAATTTAAAGAAGGCTTTACTATGCCAGCTAGTTCTAGAGCATATTCAGAGTTAAAAACAAATACATATGCACAACAAAATTAATCTCCTAATGAAACTTAAGAGTGAAATATATTTTTCCATTTTGCTGGTATCAAATCTAAGCTTACTCTTAAACCTGAGATTTCATTTAGGTTTTTTATGCACAATATTTATTGATGGTCAGATTCTCCATTTATTGACCTTTTCAATTTTGAACTTGACTTTATATGAAAGGCAAAAGTGAGAATATGATGCTCCCTGCAGAGCTGAGTGTAGAAAATAAACTAGCCTTTCCCCTACTTTATACTTATTAGATTGGTGGATATTGGTGGTACCAAAAATAATGATTTGACAATATATTGTGCCAAAGTTTTTTAAATGTCAGTGTTTATGAGAACACCAGACAATAATAGTGTACATGGTACAGGTACAATAAAAAAGTTACTGCCTTTGAAAAAAAAACATTTCTGCCCATCTGTAGTTGCCAAATAAAATGTGGATAAGTTAAAAGGCTTTTGGAACAATGTTCTGTGGATGGATGAGAGCAAAATAAAATGAATCAGATAGATGTCAAATAGAATTATTTTGCTTAAATGAAAACATTTTGGCAAAAGACAAATACAGGTAGTCCTCGAGTTACGAATGAAATGGAGCCTGCCTATTCCATTTGTAACTCAAGGACTCATAGGAGTGAATCTCGTACCTTGAACGCGATCACTCCCTGCTTTCACTCATGCATTCGCTAATAGAATGTGTGGCTTGTTAAGTGCACATGCGGTATCTCAGGGTGGGGAAGGCCATAGAGAGGCCTAGTGATGGAATAGGCCACCTGCTTTAGACCACCCAAGGTCTCCCCCGACCCACTGAGTTACCTCATTCTGCAGTAGTGGCAAATATTTGTAGCTAAGGTATAGGATGAGAGTGAAGATTCATTCTCCGAGCCTGACGGTTGGTTTCTGAACATTTTATTACCAGGCTAGGTAACATCTTCAACTGTTTAATGGATGTCTACTTATGTCTACTTATAGTGGATGTCTACTTATATAAGAGCTTCAGATATGGGAATGTCAAGTGAGGGGTCTTGTGATAGGGAGACTATGTCAGGTCAGGGTTGTTGGAGGGTATGAATTAGTGGGTCAGGAGTGAGTGATCAGTGGAGGCTGTAATGGGTTATGTTGGGGAGACTATGTCAGGTCAGGCACATTAGAAGCTGAACTACTGGGGGAGGGAAGAGGCTCCCCCCCAGCAGTTCACCTTCCTGACCTTACACAGTCACCCCATCACAAGACCCTTTACCACCCTCACACTGATGAGTGTTTGCATGCTGAAGGGAGGTTTGGGGCAAGCCTCCTGTTGTGTGCAAACACTTTTTGTGCAGACACTGGAAGCTTCTGAATGCCCTGATCTTGCGGGACATTAGGCACCCATTCTATGCAAAAGCAGATAGGTGCCCGAGCATGAGACCATAGTCCTCCAGAAACTTTTGGCCTCTGGCCAAAAAATGTTTATGCTCTGCTTCAAAGAGCCCCATAGAGCTGGAGGAGCCCTTTGCCACAAAGAATGGAGCCCCCAGAGGGAGCTGGAGGAGCCCTTTGCCACAAAGAATGGAGCCCCCCAGAGGTCTCCTTGAGGCCTCTGCTGCCAAAAACGGAGCCCCCACTTTCATTTTTGCACATTAGCCCAGGGCTCTGTTCTCAGCTGCAGAGGCCTTTCCTGAAGGGCTCTGTTGCCAAGAACGGAGGTCAGGTGCAACATGTGCATCAACCCAGGTCTCCGTTCTCAGTGGCTGAGGCTTTTCCTGAAGGCCTCTTCTGGCAAAACAGATGCCAGAGGCAACACGCGTGTCAACCCAGGGCTCCATTCTCAGCTGCAGAAGCTTTTTGCAGAGATGCAAAAGGCTTTGCAAATGGAGGGAAGGCTTCGATAGTTTGCTGCAAATCTCGTATAGGTGCCCTGTTGCAGAGGACAGAGGTCTAAAGTACCATGAGATCACGTGAGATCTGAGATCTCACACTACTGATCTCGCATGATCTTGCAGTCAGGCCCCCTTCTCTATGGATACACCGAAGGCCTGAAACACCAAAAGAGACCAAGAAAGCAAAGCCTCTCGATCTTCGTAAGGTGAGTATCCACAGCCCCAAAGACTATGAAGACCTGCCAGGGACAGCCAAGGAGGGAATAGCCAGAGTGAATGTTGCAGTGCTTCTGCGATTGTACATAAGGGTGAACAAGTATCGTGGTGCTGCAACATTTCGGGACTTGTTCGTAAACACTAGGGAATGCTTATCGCATAACTTTGAACATTCATTAAGGGAACATTCATAACTCTGGGATTACCTGTATAGTATTCTGCCAAAAGAACCTTATCCTATCTGTGAAACATAAGGTGGCAATATGATGATTTGGGCCTGCTTATCTATCTCTCGACCAGGATGGCTTGCTATTGTTAATAAATTGTGAATTCCAAATTGTATTGGAAAATTCTACAAAAAATGTCAAATTATCTTTCTGTGAAGTGAAACTTAAGAAAAAATGAGTTATGCAGCAAAACAATAATCCAAAACACAACAAGTGCAACAACCAAAGAATTATTATAGCAAAAGAAAGTTAATGTTCTGGAACTGACCTAAATCTTACAGTAATGTTGTGGAAGGACCTGAAGTGAGCAATCTGTTCAGGAAAGCCCACTAATATTCCTGATGTGAAACTGTTCATAAAATGAATGGACTAAAATACTTTCACACTGATGTGCAAAGCTGATCAACAACAATTATTGGAAATGTTTATACTGTACTTATTTTTCAGTATATATTTACTGGAAGAGTATGTAAAATATTCCAGTTATGTGCTACTTGCCATTTGATATTAAGTAGCTATTTTTTTACCAAATTATTTTCGCTTGACAGATGTACTTTTTGTTTTTAATCCTACTTTAGAAACAGACTAAGTTGTCTTCACTATAATTTGTTAAACTGTACTACATTTGATTCTTGTGTTTGTAAAAATGGCTTTTACTAAAATTTGGTGTTTGAACAGAAACAGTGAGATTTTAAATTGTGAACATTACATTAAATTATAATCTAAAATTATAATTTGGATTTAGAAGGGAAAAGTGTGAAATGCTTATTTCATTTGTATTTTTCAGATTACAAACAATATTTATGAAATTTGATGAAGTAAAAAATAGCGACAGTATGATTTCAAGCAGTATCAGTGGTGAGTAACTACCAGTTTATATGACTTTGGTACTAAAAAGTAATCAATTAGGTAACTTTGGTGTTTAAAGGTAATCAATTTTAAATGAATATGTAAAATGAAAGGAGGTTAGAGTCTTATAATCTTAACTAATCTTTGTTTAATCACAAACATTATATATTAATTAAGGTAATATAATTGAAGAAAGTGTGTGCTCTGAATGCATCACAAACTTTATTACTAGTATTTCTGCATCTATAATAAGAAAATCTTTATAAGATTCACATCAAAATTTCTTTCTCACTTATTGATAGAAGTAAAAGATCCATGATAGCAATTAGTAAGTTAGCATCATTAAATGCTTACAGGCTTTACAATATCTTTTGAGATTATGGTCAGTTTTTGCCCACACTGATCAATTTAAGATAATACTTTTCTGATTTTAAAGATTTATGAATATTTTGAAATTTCATTATTTAATTTTATGATCATTTGAACTCCTTGATATTTCTATTTTGCTTGTAATTTCTGAAGCATTAAAGGTAAAAGTTTTTGTTTTGTTTTGTTTTATGTAGCGTAGCGTTTAATGGTTTGGATTTAGACCTAAGGAGGCTCAAGTTCAAATCCTCAGTCAGTGACAGAGTTCATGGATGGTCTTTATTCAATGTCTTCAGTCACTTCAATATAGTCTATCTAAAAAAAATATTATGGGATGAAACAGGCGATTCACAAGGATGCAGTTACAATTTTCCAGAGCATCCCCTTCCTCAGGATGTAAATATAACAAGTATATAAAAATAGGATAACACTATTTTCTCACTGTTTCAGAAACTTTTTTTGCACTTTGATCACTTTATGCAGTAGATAAAAAATCTTGCCTCTAACAGCTTATTTATATCAAAGAAAGTATGCATCTATACATTACTAAAATTCTATGTTTGATAGTTTATAACCTTCAATTGGACTAAATTGGAAGTATATGGCAACAGTTATTGCAGTGGTTCTCAACCTTTTTAATGCTGCGACCCCAACCAGTCATAAGTCGAGGACTACCCAACCGGTCGTAAGTTGAGGACTACCCAACCGGTCGTAAGTCGAGGACTTTCTCTGCCCGGGAGCGCCGCACATGCGTGGTGCCGCCCCCTGCCCGGCCGAGGCATAGCTGGCAAGCGGCAGAGATGGCCAGGCCGACCACCGGCTGGGCCACCAGCTGGCCCAGCCCAAGGGAGGTAAGGCACCCACCGAGTCCCACATGCGCCAGCAACCCTCCCTGCGCCCGCTGGCCTCCCACCTCCCACCCCTGGCCCTCTTTTACTTACATTTTTAGTAGTTGCTCAGCAGGGAGGGGTAGAAGCTCCCAGACAGCTCGCCTTCGCTGCAGACAACTTGCAGCACCGTTTGCAGAAGGGACTTTTGGCGGGCTCAGCGGGGCAGAGACAGCCTGGACAATTCCTATTGGCTTTTGAAAGCCAATAGAATTAGACTCTATTCAAGAGAGTCTATTCTATTGGCTTTCAAAAGCCAATAGAATAAAAGGGAGTAGCACAGCTAAGGAAAAGGGGGAAAAATGGCGGACTGCGTCGTTTGGCGATCCCCGTGAAATGGTCGTTCGACCCTAAATGGGGTCCCGACCCACAGGTTGAGAAGTACTGAGTTATTGAGTCAAAGTAACTCAAATAGCCTAGCTTACAGAATGCTAGAACTCCAGTGCAAATTAAATTTGGGGAAGTTGTTGCCACTTCAGTACCAATGTGTTGCTGCTGTTCATTGCTGCTGCAGTCAGCTGCAGTCATGTGATCCTCATTCCTTGACAGCTTCCCACAAATTGATGGGGAAGCCAGAAGGAATTAATACGATTGCCAGTGCTGGTTACCATCTTCCTACTAGCAAAGTTTTTGCAAGGGGAAATTAAGTGGAGAACCTGACAGGGAATGTGTTAAGTTACTTGGTAAGTCTCCTATTCCTTCTGCATGTTCTCTACTAGTCTCGTTAATTCCTCTATGCTCATGCTATGCTCAAGCAATCTCTTGCTGTCTTTCCCATCTGGCAACAACCATACCTGAAGGAAAAGAATGGAAAGGAGAAAAGAGAAAGGAGAGGGAAGGGGTATGGAGATGGGGAAAGGGAAAAGAGTTTCCAATGCTCCCTACCACCATTCCACAAGCAATGGAATCTGCATCATGCCCAATCTGCTGGATCAAGTTGGACAAATAGAGACTTTTGAAAAAAAGACGATTCCACAGTAGTCCAGTCCCAAGCAATGTAGGTTTAAGGTAACCAACACCTTGAATGACACCCGGAAATACACTGGTGCCAGTGGAGCTCATGTAATAGTGGTGTTACATTGTGCAGTGTATCCAACACCATTTACTACCTGTGCAGCCCCATTCTGCACCAGTTGAAGTTTCTGAATGGCTACATGTAGAGTATGTCCCAGTAATCTAAGTGAAAGGTTACCAAGGGTATGGGTGATGGTAAGACCTGACTTTCCAATCGCTCTTGACTGAGAATTGCAATCTTCAAAATTGTCTCAACTCCATAAGTGTGTGGGTGTGCGAAGATTGTCTCCCCTTCAAAAAACAGGGAGCTCAACCACAAAATAACCAGCTTTGATGGTAAAATCTGATGTTCAAAACAGTCATTCACCAACCAGCACTCCATCTGGGGGGAATGTACGGAGAAGAAATGATTTGTATTTTTAATGAGTTGTAGCCTGAAGAACAAAAAGGTTGTTTACCTTTTTATTTCCAGTGCAATCTACTGATAGTGATTGAACCAATTTTGTTACATCTTATTCCAAAAGTTCAGGAATTTATTAGATTGAGAGATAGTAACTCACTGCCCATTTTCCTGTGAATTATATGATTGAGGAGGGATCTTAGATCTCCTTGGTTCTTACTTTAAATATGTATTTCAACTGCAACTATAAGAAACATCCTCTTATTCAATTTGTTTCTATATCCTTTGTGCATTCCTAGACCTTTTTTTCTTAAGGAAAACAGTCTCAGTACATAGGTGGGTGAAAGTATATAGACTCAAAATTTGAAAAATGTCTGCAGTTAAATTTGTGGGTCTACCTTAGTATAAAAATACATTTTACTGTAGGTCCTAATTTAAATGGCTTGCTGAATTAAATGTGTAATTTGTTAACATACATGGGTTTTGAATTGTGCTTTTATTTTATATTTGTAAAACTTTGGTGGGAAATGTATTCTACTTTTATGAATAGCTATGAAATGGGAGTCTTGTTGTCAAGCAGAGCACTGCATGCTTGCTCTTACTATGTGTTTGATTCAGATTTATGTCACTGACTTTATCTGAAACAGTGGTACAGCTTTCTTTGAACAGAAAAGCCTTTTACAATGTGCCTTTGACGTGATTGTTTACAGCAGCCCGAGATAGTTATGTACAATTGGAGACTGGGAACACAGAAGAAAAGCGACAGAAAGACAAGGGAGGGGAAAGCCAAACAAAAATACCATACATGTTCTATTTCTGCCTTATGTGACTGTTGGAAAATTTGTTTTGCTGATCTTTTTTGGCTATAGTACGATTTCATTAGATTCTATTACACCAATGTAAATCAGATAATCACTTTGGTCATGTGACTAATCCTGATTATACATGAATCCTTAGGGATTGTAAGCAAGATATGTTTCACAAACACATGCCTTGTGTTTTGATTATTGCATTAAAAGCCCTTGTGGAATGAATTTCATTGGTTGTAAGCAGATTCTTCAAAGAAAAAAGGCAAGAACAAGGATAGAAATAAAGGAGGAGGGGAATCTTACTATAATACTGAAATGCCTCATTGATATAAGCAGTAATGAGGTTTATTGTAATAGATGGAAGGAGTTTCCTAAAACAAGCAGGACTTTTATTTTGAAGTGGCATAGCAGCTGTTGCTTGTTGCAGTATAAAGCTGCAGATCTGACTGGGTCACACAGTGCTGTGTCTGTTTTCATGCTGCACTGGATTGAGAGTGGCGCAGGAACATACAGTCTTGTACTGTATTTAGCTTCCGTGAAAAATCATTTGGTAATACTTTAACTGAACAATGGCAGTTGGAGATGGTGAGTACCACTCAGTTTAAATGGGTTTTTTATTATTTAAACATAATTGATCATTTAATGATCAAAAATTAAAAATAATCCTACAGTTGATATAATTAATATAAAGATTTGAATTTGGTGCACTTGCATGTTGAAAAACCTTGCTAAGCATATCAAACATAATTTATTTAATATTTTTAATGGTTTTAAATTAGGCTTAAGCAGACGCACAAGTATGCATCTAGAATAGCTCTGCTTTCAGTTGTGCACCTAGTTTTATATTTTGAGAAGCTGAATATGTCATCTTACCTGGCTACAAATTAATGTAAAACTATCCTTTATTATACTTTTTTTCAAATAAAAAGGAGAATAATCTTTAAAGGACAAAGATATGTGAAAGTCCTGACCTAAGGCTGCTGTATAATTTGGATCCTTTAGAGCAGGTTGTCATGGCCATCATCTTACACAATCTACTTTGAGCATCTTGGCCCAATAAAAATTAAAATGCATATTTATTTTAAATATGTTGTTCAAATACACTATTCTTTAGACATTTTATGATGTTATTGGACAGTGTATTGTTTCCTTTTATGGAACTTGATATGCTATTTCTATGTCTTATAAATATGTCAGCTTTAAGTTTATTCTGCAGCTTATATTTAGTGCTCAAGATAATCTGTTCATAGTTTAGTCTGCCAGTAGGAATAAATAATATGTTTGAAGGTAAATTCCCATACATTTCCACACAGTAGGAAATATTTAAATTCCAGCAATTAGAAATTAAGAAGAACTTTGAATGTTGATATTATTATATACAGTCAGTTCACTGACAGTTTATAAATATATTTCTGTTGAAGTTCATCTCCGCTTATGTAATTAAAACTGTTTAATTATGAGCTTTTTCAGTATATGTTTAAGAAACCATCCTTTATTTAATCTTCCTGTACTGGACAATCTGAAAACTTTTATGTATGTAACATTGCATAGACGGATTATGATAAATTTATAAATTATAATGTTTGTATTTAGATTAATAATCTTTTGTGCTAGGTTTGCATGTGGAAAAGGTTATTTTTATGTTTTATACGTTTCGGTAAAGTAGGATTTTATTTCTTCTGTAACATCTTAAAGCTTTTTGCTATACAGCAAGATTCTAAACATCTTATTGTAAAGAGCACCTTTTTGTAGATTTGCTTACTTGCAATCATTTATGGACTCATTTTTAATCAGGATATTGTTTACTTTAAACACAGTAGCACAGTATGCTTGAATAACTATCATGGGTAAGAATGTAATTGTTATGCCAAGTATTGGGTTTCTGAATGAAATAATGCAGTATGATTTCAGGTAACATTGACATGAAAAAGCCTTAAGTAAATGTCAGAGACAATTTCAGTCCTCTGAAAGATTCTGTAAGCATATTATAAGTTGAATTGTGAAGAAGTTAAGGAATTATCCAGACATCCAGATAAATTATGGTCATGTATGATATTCTGGTAATGTGTTGAATTGACCCAAATGCAAATCCAGCCTCAATTATTGAAAGTTTACTCTGGGTAACTTTAATTTTAATACTACTGAAAAACTGATAGAGATTCATTCTCTCTCTCTCCCTCTCACTCTCACTCTCCCCCTCCCTCCCTCCCTCCCTCCCTCCCTCTCTCTCTCTCTCTGTGTGTGTGTGTGTGTGTGTGTAAGAAAACAAATACACTTAAGACCAGTATTTGTATTCTTGTTAATCAAATTGAGGTTTTCAGATTGTATCCAACATATTTGTTATGCATTGTTGCAGCGAGGGGCCCAAGATCAATTTATACAATTTAAGATCCCATCAACAAGTTACCGTTTCGTTGAATGTAAATTTGTTGGCACTTAAATCATTTTCTTTCTTAGTGAATTCAAACTCTGAATGTATATAAATTGATACTTTGCCTTTATTTTTTTGGTAGTAACAACGTGTGCAAGGCCTTCACCTCGATTTGTTCTCATTTCAGTTTTATCAGATAAAAGTTAATGACTAGAGTATTCTTATAGACTTCATAATTAAATAAATATTGTAATCTAACCCTTGTTAGTCCAATAGTATAATACTATACTGTTTTTTTATTGTAAATAGTTGGAAGGTTTAGATTTGTTGAGAAGGCATACATGGATTAATTCTCTGTCAAAACCATTTAAAATTATTATTAAAATAGATTGTTCTATAGCATGCTATATTTAATATCAAATTAAAGTACATTTAGCAGAAACTTCCTTGTACTTTAACGGTTGATAAACAGAATTATATTTCAAATAGATTGACATTATTACATACTTCTATTTAATGATGACATATGCAAGGGGATGTTCATACTTTGTCCTTGATCTCATTTTTTAAGGTCGTAAGTATCTTTAATTTTTCCTGTTTGTAATCAATCCACATTTAACAATAATAACAATAATAGAATTGGAAGAGACCCTTGTGGTCTTCTAGTCCAACCCCCTGCTCAAGCAGGAAACCCTATACCATTTCAGACAAATGATTTTCCAGTCTCTTCTTAAAAACTTCCAATGTTGGAGCATTTACAACTTCTGAGGCAGGTTGTTCCACTGATTAATTGTTATAACTGTCAGAAAGTTTCTCCTTAGTTCTAGGTTGCTTCTCTCTTTGATTAGTTTCTATCCATTGCTTCTTGTCTTGCTTTCAGATGCTTTGGAGAATAGCTTCACTCCCTCTTCTTTGTGGCAACCCCAGAGATATTGGAATACTGCTCTATCATGTCACCCCTCATCCTTCATTAAACTAGACATACCCAATTCCAGCAACCGTTCCTTATATGTTTTAGCCTCCAGTCCCCTAATCATCTTTGTTGCTCTTCTCTGTACTCTTTCTAGAGTCTCAACATCTTTTTTACATCACAGTGACCAAAACTAGGTGCAGTATTCCAAGTGTGGCCTTACCAAGGCATTAAAAAGTGGCATTAATACTTCAATATATTTCTGGATTGAAGCAATTTCAAAATACTATTATTTTTGGCAGGAATAGCATTTTGTTTTAAGGAGAAAATATATTTAGTTTACCCATTGAATTATAAAAAATTAATGTGCTATATTGCAAAGAAAATAATGCTAACTTCTAAGGGAGATTAGTATGATAGTTGTAACCACCTTTTCCAAGTTTTTCATTATTAATTAAAAAAAGACCTTAGAAATCTCTCATTCCTTTTATTTGCCATACCCTTCCTCTAGTAGAGGATATCCTGAGAATTCTATATCCCCTAAAAGGTTTTTCTAAAAATCAAAATATTGTATGAAAAACACTTTGATTATACAGTATTCAGTCTGAAGCATTTTAAAACAGTAGTATTTTTTTAATTCAAGTAGCTTAATAATATTATTCCTCATTACACACTTAACCTGTGAAAAATTCTCATCATATTTAAAAGACTTATTTTTTAGGAAATAAAAATTCATGATTATTGTTTGATTAAGCAGTATGTTCTTTTTTTGACCTGATAAGACATTATTTTGCAACGTTTGCCTTCAGTACTTGCTGCTTTCAGTTCTTGTAAACTCTCAGTTAGTGGGTTTGGTTTTAGTGAAAATATCTAGCTATCTTGTCTTCTGATGGTATGTTTTTCAGTTCTCTTCAAATTTTCCAAACTTCAAGACTATTGCATTTGCATTAATATGTACAAAATATTTAAGCTTTGATTTCATTATTAGTGCTCTTGGTAAGCAATCTAGTTTAACTTAGAGAAATAGAATCCTGGTGGGGACTTTGGAGGCCTTCTAGCCTAACGTCCTGCCCACTGCAGGAATTTTCAGATCATCCCAGACAAATTGATGTTAAATATTTGTTTGAAAACTTCCAGTGAAGCATCTGAAATTCCAGGATGCATTCCACTATTTAGTAGCTCTGGGTTTAGACTCTTCTCCTTATTTCAGGTTTGGAACTGTTTGCAAAGCTTCCATCCTGTTCTACCCTCAAACAGTAGCAAAAATAAATGCACACTCTCCCCTTTTGTTTTTTAGTCTAAACTATTTCATAGGGTCAGCATTTAGTTTCCGACTTTCAAGCTCCTCACCATCTCTGCTGCTGGTCTCTGCATTCTGTTTAGTTCCTTAGCATCCTTCTTTTATTGTGACCAGACTAGTCACAGTATTTAGGTGCATTCTGACTAGTACTATGTTTAATGGTTTTAATTATACTCTGCTGATTACATTTGTTGTTTTGGCTTCTATATACTGGGTCATGCTTTATTTGTGGTTTACTGGGAAATACAAAATACTATTGCCTTCTCAAAAATATTACTGCCAAGCTAGGTACCACCTATCTTATATTGGGAGGAGGGTTTTATTTAAGGGTTGAACTTTGCATTTCTTTCCGTAGAATAGCATTTTGTTGGATAGAGACCAATATTCAAATTTCAGGATCCTTTTGAAACTTGAGGCTGCCTTCTGAGGGGTTGGTTAACAATTCACCCCATCTTTGTGTTTTCTGCAATTTTGCTGAGTATCCTTAAGTCATTTGAAAGGCGTTGAAGCACCTGGGCCCAGGACAGAATCCTAAGATTCCTCACTGCATATCTCTATCCAGGTACTTCATATAGTATTGAATGATTTATACTTCTTGAACTTCAAAGTATTCTTGTTTGAATCATCCATTTTTCTTTGTTGATTCTTTCTGATGATCCAGTTTTCACAGTTAGGGAAATCTTGACCTCAATAATGTACCTTTATTATAAAAGCAGTGACTTTGCATTTTAACATTTTGTCTAGACTTGTTGTTAATTGCAAAGTCGTGTCCAACCCATCGTGACCCCATGGACAACGTTCCTCCAGGTCTCCCTGTCCTTATCTTCTGGAGTCCATTTAAGTTCACACCTATTGCTTCAGTGACGCCATCCAGCCACCTCTCTCTTGTCTCCTTCTTCTATTGCCTTCAATCTTTCCCAGCATTAGCCAGCATTCTCCAGTGAGTCCTTCCTTCTCATTAGGTGACCAAAGTATTTGAGTTTCAGCTTCAGGATCTGGCCTTC